CTTGCAAACGTTTCATTACCCGGCTAGGTAACATCTTCAGTGCTTTAGTGGTTAACATCTTCAAGTAGAAATATAGTGACGCCTCAATTTAACAGATGCCATTTAGCAAACTTTGGATGCAATGGAACAAATTTCTTTCTGGACACCCCCCCCCAATAATTGATATTAATTTTACTTTAATTTTACAACATCCACAGTAATTTATCTCATTTGTGTAACAATGTCCTTATACAATTGACACGAATCACCACTACAGCCTACTTTTGTATTTAATTGACATTTTGGACTAAGGCATATCCCCGCCCCTCAAAAGGTCCATTGAAATAAGGTTTCAGTGTATAAGCAAATCTAGCCTACACCAAGCAACTTACTATTTATCTATAAGTTTCTATCTTCCTTGTTTCTACCACATTCCTACACTGATTAATGCTTTGGATTTTTTTCTTGGAACTTCTCACAATTCTCTTTCAGGATCTCATCAATCCTATCCAATCACAGTATGCTTGGCCTTCCTCTCAATCCATTCACTCTTCCTTTGTGTATTTGTTTTGTGGTTCAATCCCTATTCATTCCATCTATATGACCATATCACCTCTAAATACTTATTTTGTATTGGTCATTGACAGCCTACGTACATTCAACCTACATGCATTCAGCACTCATTAATTCCTGATCTTATCTGTTCTTGTTATAATATACTCATTTCTTAAGTACTCCATTCTCACTTCAGCCTACTTTTTTTTGATTCTCCTGATATACCTAACTTCCATGTAACAAAGTGTCCAGAAGCATCTCTTATACACAACCATTTTTGCTTCTTGCAAGAAATGTTCATTCCTTGCAAAGTCTACCTACTACCCACTATCTTTCTACCAGCATTTGCATATCTTAACATTTTTCCACCTTCAGTAAAAATTTTATTAAGGTGCACAAATTAATCTGCTTGCTCTAATTTTTTCACTACTTACAGATAACTTTCAGTCGTTCACTCATTTTTCCTGTCAAATACTGCAAATACTGTCACCTCTGATAGTTTCATTTTCAGATTCATCTCCCTGGGATTCATTCAAACATGGCTTGAACTGTGGCTTTTTTGTTCTTTTTTTCTTCATAGGCAATTTGGAGGCTATGCAAAAGAAGCAGACTATGTGAATTATGCCGCCAAGCTAACTTCTGCTTTAGGAAATGCGGGAACCTTCCACAAAGACTTCTATTTTTGCAATGGTTACGATCCCCCCATGAAACCCTATGGGCGGCGCAATGAGGTTTGGCTGTTGAAAAAGTGAGCAAAATAAAAATGCAAAATTGTCCCAATTTCTTGAAAGAACTGTAGAGAATATCCACAGATGCAATGGAAAGCAGAGATTTACCCAGCATTTATTTTTATTTTTTAATGAGCACGTTCATAAAATTCTTTTGTATTTGCCATTGATTTCATAAGACATAAATTAAATTTCTTGAGATTGTTTCTATCCTCCACAGAATAGGAAGAATACAGTGCCTTCTACAAAGAACAATATTTTTAAACTCCACTGAGTGAACCATAAGAAATGGGTTTTTTTATAGCACCAGAACATGTGAGCAGACCAATTATTGAATTATGAGAAGACCAAATATTAATTCAAATAAACCCAAGTTATCTTTTTTTTGGTCAATTCTCCTTAACCCAAACCTTAAAAAACACCCAAACTAAACTCTACACCAGCAATTTTTCCCCTTAGTTCATGTTATTACAATAGGTGGCAGCAATATCTGTAACAACCCACAATGACATAATCATGCAACTACATACTTGCATCATGACATTTGATGACATCATCATGAACATGCCCTCATTCGTCCCCTGAGATGCCCATGATAGATGTCAACAACAGCAATTGATGATACCCTGACTGGGCAATTCACAATCCTCCCAAACAACTGCTCTTTAAACTTAAAATAGTTATTTCCAGTGTTATAGTTCTACTTGGTTTGTGCTAACCTGAATAGGAATTGCTACAATCCTGACAATGGCTAACATCTCCAGGTGTAACAGCCTTGGGAAGGACTAGTATTGGATACTATGGGGATGTACAGATGTCCAAGGAATAAAATACCTCCTTTTTAAAGCCTTTATAAGGGAGATACCTTCACTCTAGGGAAGAGAACACACTCTTGTTCCTGAGATACAACTTTTTAACATGACGCAGTGTGTAGGGGCTTATCCAGGGAGTCGCTAGGAGTAAGCATTCACTTGGAGTCACCAAAAAAAAAAAAAAAAATAGCAGTTACATTTGGAAGGGAAGACAGTGCAGAAATAAATGAACAGAAAATTGAAAATTACTTGTTCAGAGCACCATTGAGGCAAAAGGGGAAAAAAGGGTGATTTGTAGATATACTGGATAAGTGGTGAGGCCTTGGACATCCGCGCCAAAGTCCCACATTAAACCATACCTATGAGTAGCACAACCAGTACCTCCACAGCACAACATGCCGAATAACAGCTCTCAACAAAGCAAGTATTCCTATTTCCCAGCCAACAGATTTACTTATTTGGTGATTTATATCCTCCTTTCTAAAACTCCTCTCAAAAAATGAACATTAAATACCAGTGTAATCACAATAAGGAGAAATAAAGTATTTGATTAGGATTAGATGAAAGCACATCTGAAAATAAAGCTACATCCAACTGAAAAAGTCCTGCCCGAAAAGAAAGTTCTTGACTACTGACTTAAAAATGCAAGTCACCCAAAGTATTGATAACTTGGCAGGGTAAGAGACACTACACCAAAAAATGTCTCTTGGTGAGGCCACCGATGGCTTTCCCAGATGACAAAGAGCAGGAGAGAAAAAGCTGAAAAAGGCAGTTCCTCGGTTGCTGCTGATTTTTTTCATTATTGGGAAATGATAACACGAGGGGGCTGTTTTTGAGTAAGTCTGACTGCTAAACTGTCTTTCAGCATTCCAGAAATTCAGACAGGTTTTCAATCTGACTTAAATATGCCAGAAAAACCTGATGTTTTCTGAATATATAGCAAATGTTCTGACATAGAACTCTGATCCTTCCCTGGGTCTGATAATTGTTTACAACAGAAATACTAGGGTAACATAATTGAGCAGGTTACTAATGTCTCAAATGGCCTTACGTTGTTGTAATTCTGGACTTTCTCTGCATCAGGATTCTGTGGAGCATATCTAGATCAGCCTTCCCCAGTCTGGCAACCTTTTCCAGATATGGCGGAACTGCAGTTTCCCAGCACAACTGGAGGATGATGCCAGGCTTGGAAGACTGATCAAGAGAGTGAAGGCATTAGTGTGAATGACTTACAGAAGTAAGAAACTTTTCATCTTCTACTTTTTCATTCACATCTCCTCCCTATTTTGCCATATCATATAGCATCATTTCTGTTTTCTAATGCATATAATTATATTGCTTGTTTGATGCATCTTTGATTTGTGCAGGGTTTTTTTTAATGAAATCTCAATTTTAACAAAGGTAATAAAAATATACTCAATGTTTTTTGGGGGGGGATTATGTATGTACATAGTACGATTGAAGATGTGTAGCATGCACACACATTTCTCTGTTTGTGTTCTATGAATGATCCTTCGCTAAATTATGTTCATTTCTCTCTCTTCTAATGAATGAGGGATGGAAAATCTCAGTACAAATCCCTCTTTCCTCAATTCCTATGATATGTTAAAGAATATAAATAAATGCTATGCCTCCACTGGCAAGAGTCTTCATCTTTGCTCTGGGACAGTGACCAACTTCAGGTAGCCCAAGTTTGAAGCCAGCAGTCCAAATCCATCAAAAGCTGCTTTTCCAGGTTTGGAACAATGCCTGATTCAGAGGTTGAGACCGAAGCAACACCCAGCTCAAGGATCACAGGTGAAGGAAGGTTCAGGGCCAACAGAGAAGTACATCTGGTGGGTCAGTTTCTACCCTTGCTCCTGCTCCTAATAACCACTGGACTGTTCCCAGAAAACCCTTGGAATATGAATGTATCTGTTTGCCTCGTTCTTTAGTGGAATTCTGGTGACCAACAGCCCCCATGGTTTGCTTCTGGCCATGCTTCTTGGAATTGTTTTACACCTCCTTGATGCCACTGCAGCAGGACAAGGGAATATTTATTACATAGGTGCCACGAAACACCCAGTGTCTTTTGCCAAGGCTTGTCAGCATCTGAATAACTATGCAATTACTCATCTAAATATGGATTTCAGAACTCTTATTAAGTATCCATTTTTTTAAAAAAAAATGCTTGTACATTTCTAAGGGTGTAATTGCCTCTATCATAAGAATAAATTAGTTGAAAAGATTAATAGTTTAGTTGTCAAAACTATTAAAAAAGCAAAATCTGAGGCTCTACAATCGCATTTTCTATTTAAAAGTGTGCTTGTGGCTGACAGGCTTTCTGCTTCATGTTGCAGTGCTTATAACAGAAATAGGAGCATGATTCTAGATAGCAGATACATGGGTTAGGGAAACACAAAACATTTCACTCCAGCTCCAGGCTGGAAGGGCTAGATTAAGCAAAAATAAATGGAACTTGTCAATTGAGAAAAAGGATAATTCTTGGGAACAAAAGATGGGAGGGCTTGTAATGTCCTGCTTGTAAGCGTCAAAGTTACTGTCTCACTGCAGTTATAAGCAGAATGTTGGATCAAATGGATCTTTGATTTGCTTATTATCGAAGTCGTTTCTGATTTAGGGCACTGGATACTTGATTCTTGCACATTGTATTGCACAGTCTTGCTGAATTCTTCTGGTATACTTTCCATTTCTTGTGTGAGTGATGCAGTGCAGGACTGAAATGCAGGATGCTTGCATTTTGCTGTATTTTTCAAAGACAGCATTAGAATATTTAAACATCTTGGCAGAAGAAATTGGTGAGTGCTCTGCAAAACAATAGTCTCAACGACTGCTTGATTTTTTTCTTGTGGTTCTTAACCTGCCTTAAACTTTCTGACGTAAGTAAAATGAGTAGCTTGTCTTCCTGATGTCATGCTCATATTATTTGAATGCAAATTTCATTCATAAGCTAAATTACAGTATGCAAATTGGCAGCAGTCCTCCAGGTGAAGGAATTTTGGGTACATGGTTTGGTGCTTCACTTGTCTTCCTTTGTTGTTGTTTTTTTAAAAAAATTGAAGATTACCATTTAATTATGCTTTTTAACAAAACCATGAAGCTTAGTAGCACTGTTTTGATAGATTTTATATAAATACATACAAATATATTTCATATTTTGTATTTACACACACATATATATATTCTTATATTTAGTATTGAAGCATTTAGACTTCCATTAAGGATTTCTGAATCCTGTTTTATTCTTTTCTTCAAGTTTGTAAGCTTGGAGGCCTTTTTCCACTATAGAAACAAGATAAAGTGTACATTCCAAGGATAGTGTCTTCCTAGAAAAAGGGTGTTTAGCTAACAGTCAAGGGGGCCTGGAAAAGAAAGAGGGAAGTTCCTAATATGGAATGATGCTAAGGTGGGAAATGAGTGGTTGAGTAAGGGCTGGTATTCTAAAGGAGGAGCTGAATGGAACGTATATATTGTGCTGAGGGGAGGGGGTCCTGTGCGGCTACCCACTTAACAGCTTATTGTCATCACTTTTGCTTTTGAGTGAAGAATAAAGAACTTAATTTCATGCAACTGCCTGTTGTCTCTTTGATCCTGGCTCAGAAACGAACCTGGTAAGAAATAAAATTCTAACGATTTGATCAAGTTAATTAGCATTTACCATGCATTTCCCTTGCAAAATAATATATTTCTGGTTTATCTATTTTAAATGGATCTTTCCATCTTTTGAATGAGTAGCCCAGAGCATAGAGCTCATATTTTAATAGAAGAGAATATCTGTAGCTCAGGGTTGAACTGTTGGTCCTTGGTGCTCTCTGAGTTTGGTTGTTTTCATGCTGATGTTTCATTACCAGGCTAGATAACATCATCAGTGCAAGGGAGAAAGGGGTTTGCTGACTTCTTATATATAGTAGCTTGACCTGCAAGTCTTGGTGGGGTTGTGGCTTGCTACGTGATGGTTTCTTGATTAGGGTATTGTTTCTTCCCTTTAGAGAACACCAAGAACCCAACCGTTCAAATTCTGTATATACCTATAATCTGTCACATACATGTAAAAAACAAAACAAAATAATGATCATTTTAATATGTACATCCTCTTGCCCAGTGCAAAATTCTGAGGCACACCTTGCATTAACATAGTCACGCATCCTCAGGTTTGTTTCAGTAGTTCTGCTCTTGTCAGGCTCCCTCATCAGGCTAGAACTTCCCAGCACATGATGCAGCAAGAGTGAACCAGTAGAAGGTTCAGGAGGCAAATGCATAGAGTTCTAGCAAGTGGACCAGTTGTTTCCAATGGAGAACTGCTGAGCAACAATGGCTCTTAAATGGACCCTGCACCATATGTAGGCTGTCCAGGGAAGGAACACTCTTGCCTTCCAAGAGGACTCAGAGATCTCCTCTCTTCTGCTCTACCCTCAGCCCTATGTGCTCTAAGGCTGGGAGGAAGTGGCATGGATCCAGCCCCTCCTCTTTAGCTGCCTGCAGTTGTCTCAAATGCTCCTTGACCATGTCAGCCACATGTGCCTGATTGCTAGGCTCCCCCTGAGGCTGGTGTTGGTCCGAGACACCTTGAGCAACTTCCTCCATCTCGGATTCTTCTGAGTCTAAGCTGGCCATCACAGTATCCCCTGGAGTAACAGAAAATTCACATTTCTCACAGTACTATGGGTTATATTATCTCAATTTTTGCACTAGGAAACTCTAGCACATAATGTATTCCCAACAGATTAGCAGACACTCCATGCCCTGGCAGGAGTTCCTTCTCTTTGGTACTGGTTTCTTCAGCCATTTTTCTTGGACTTCACTACATCATAAATATATGTTTGATTAGTACTACTGCAACTATCATCTATTCCCCATATATAAAACCAGGAGCATTAGCTTAATAAAGATTCTGATGAGTCTCTATTTCAGATCTTGTATCATTTCACTCACTAAACCATAGCTCATGTAAGCATTAGAACATGACTTTATGGTGAAAAATAAGCAGCACTCTCTTATTATTTTAAGATTATTTGAGCATCACCAAAATAAGATGGCCTAGTACCCATGATCTATTTCAGAGATGATCAACTCACTGGCTGCGTGTGGACAGACTGCTTTTTCTGTGGCCTCCCTCCCAAGATCATACCACTGGAATTCAGCTTTGTGATTTCAGGTTTTTAAAAACAAAATAAGAGTGTTAGTTTGTACTAGATTTAATGTGGCAATTTCATTTTTAGAAAAACCAAAACATGGGCTGAAAAATTTGGCCCTGCCCTCTCTGATGATCTCAGTGTATCACAACAGTTTCTGATATTCTTAGACTTTTGAGAAGAGCTTCTGATCCTTACTAAAAATGTTTGCATGAAAGTAGGAGTCATGGAATGAAATAACCATCTCTTATGTGCTACCTCCTGATTAGAAGGCAGCAAAGTATCCAGCCACACAGCTCCTAGCACTAGCAAAGGAAAAAATGGGTAAAACAATTCTACCTTTTCTTCCTTAACAGATTTTCTCTGAAGAGAAAGAAGATGGCAAATGTGGCAGAAAAACAAAGGGCTTGTTTGTCTTGGGCTTATAAAATTCCATGAATGAAATAGGGAATTGCACAATAAAAGGATATTGAAACCATCCAGGAAGCAGTAATAATATTTCATACAGCGTGGGAAAGGTTTAAAATCCCCCAGTGATCTGTACTGGAATCTCTGCTGTTCCATTTATTCATAAATGACTAAAGTTCATGGAAGAACAATGAGATAGCCAAGTTTGTAGATCACATCTAATTATTAGGAATATTCAAATAATGGCTGAGCACTCCAAAAATATCTTGGTGAATAGGCAACACAAACACATTGTGTGCCTGTGTGTGTGTGTGCATGTGTGAGAATAATGTTGTGAATAGTTGAAATCACCCAGCTGGAAAACAATCCAGCTGGATAATAACAAATGCAATCATTCAGCTAAGAAAAAAATTCAGAAAAGAACAGCTAAAACGATTAGAAAGGAGGTGGAACATTTTATGGGTAGGAAAAGCTAAGCAAAGCCCTTATATTACAGAGTAGAATAGGATAGAAATTTAGAAATTATATGTGTAGAGGATTTTTAAAAATGTACTTTTTTTCTCAACATTTTAGACATCAGAATCACTACCCAAGTACATTTATCTAAGATAGGCTGAGCAACAGAATCATCTGCTTTGGGGCTGAAATGGCTAAAAGACATTTCCATGTTAATGTAACAGTATCCTCTTAACACCCAGAGAGAAACAACCAGTAAAGAACAGTTGTTATGCTCATGTACTCTTGTGGACTTTTATCAGAAAAAGGATATTGAACTAAACTAGCCTTTCCTGACCTGTGACCTATAATTGCGTTGAAATGACATTTCCCAGAATTGTCCTTCTAGAATGGCAATCCCAACACAACTGGAAAATACCAGTTTAGAAGGGCTGAACTACAAGAACTCTTGGGCTAGTTCAGCAGAATTCTTCCTACTTGCTTAACTTTCTTTCCTGGAAAGATGAAAGACTAGGTCTAAATTTGCACAAGCTCCTTTGCTAATTATCAGCTAATTAGCAAAGGAGCTTGTGATTGAAAGATGGTGATCTACTAGGATTCACTTCTAAAATGAGCCCTTGCTTTTGCCAGACGAACTGCA